CCGATTTTTGAACTGTAGTTGATCTTTTCGAACGAGTTATGCGATCCAAACGCAAAAGGTTTAAAGGAGCGGATTGCAGGAAGGTGATCTTAATAAGATACCCCTTTGTGGATTCGGCGGCGTAAAATGTAAGTGTGTTTGTTTTTTCGCGAAAAATTTGAAGCTGATTCTGAGCAGCTTTGAAGATCGATCGAGCGATTCTGTCGTACCTTGTCTCTTATTATTACACTGTCAGGCCAGATGATATAAAAGTACTCAAATCGCGCTGAAACTTCGTAAAAACAAAGACAGCGACTCCAGGTAACACTTCATTAATAACTTTATTGATAACTTTTATCGCTTTTACTTCATTTAATTCATCTAACTTTTAAACTCTTTTTTCCCATAAATTTGGTTGGAAATTAAATGGAACACAACATTTTGGTTTGTTCCAGTAGTTAAATTTTCGGGAGCAACGGAACATCTAAAAAGGTAGTCCTGTTTTAGTTGATAGAAATAAATACAGCGAAAATTATAGTTAGATTAACTAGAAACTACCTTAAAACTACGAGAACAAACTTTGGATTTCATTAATACGATGCAAAAAAGGCTTTATAAAACATAACATGCACAAAGCGAATTAAGACGTACTTCTGTGTTCGCGTTTGGGATTTCTGACAGCGTTGACGTTGAGCCTTCCTTTGATCTTAACACGATGACACGTTGACTAGAACTTAAAAAGTTTCCTGATCACGTTCGACAATGCTAACTAATACATAAGGATAATAGATTTCTTTGTTACTTTGAAAACCAAACGTAGGCAAGTATATCCGGGGCAAAAAACCACAAATACTATAAGATAAGGGTAGGGTTCGAAAGGAAATACGAAAAACCATAAAATATTTGGGAGTAACAATTTACAAGAAGGAAAAGGAAGACTATACAATGAGACTAAACTAAAGTCAGTTGAACACCTGCGCTCAGAGAGGCCGCACGAAGCTGCTGGAGAAATGCAATCTAAACTTATAACAAGCGCGAAATCTCTCCTTAGCACGCATTTAAGGCGACACCGGCCTTTCCAAAAGACTGCATGAAGACTGAACTGGTGAGATCATTTCTAAAACCTGCTAGGCAAAAAACAAAATTACGCTCTGAATGATCGAGGTTTACAATGGGAAGTATCAGATTTCCTTTGGCGATTGACAGATTTTTTCATCATGGAGAAACTTTTAGTACTGCTTTAGAAAGTGAATGATCTCAAGTCATCTGGTGTAAAAAATCATATTCTGGCTTTAGTAATAGATCAGGCTTAAGACCAAATATGAAGAAACAACATTAAAAGAGAGCCTGATTTTTCAGTATATGAACTTAGATTAAATAAAAATAAAAATAGCTCTTTCAGAGCTGAATCTTCATTTTGATTTTATCAAAACTGACCCTGCGAGCAGTGGTTTCTCCAGCGTCCGACCTGGAGAAACCACTGCTCGCAGGGTAATCAAAACTATTATAGTACATCAAATTACTCAAACGGATATTAAATTTTTGTACTTTATTATTGCATTTTTGCGCATATCATTAATTTTGTGGTTCCCTAATTAGCATCTCACCCTTATTTTATCTTTTGCATAATCAGGACCTATTACTTATTAATCATTAATTATTCACTAAAGTAGCCCAAACGTTGTTCAAGAACCCGAACGTTGCTCATAATTTCCAAAATTGCTGAGTACAACCAATGCGTAGGCTAGGGTTAAAAGGCTTTGGGTTAACTTCAAGGGCTAAGGTTACAGCATGGGGTGTCAGTCAGAAACAAGACTATGGTTCGTATACACAGTGGAACCTCGACATACCGAAGCGCCAATTAGGAACTGGCAAAATTTGTTCGCTATAACGAGGTTTCCTTATATCGAGGTTCTTTTTGATATATTTTACTATAACTGGGGTAAAGAAAATCGTTCGTTATACCGAGGACTTACGTAGAGAGCTAGAGTTATTAATACAGGTTCGTTATATCGAGGTTTGTTGAATTGCGTGTATGTTTGAGGCAGATTAAGGCCCCGGTTATATGAAAAAAAGTTGTCGAAAGAAGGAGACCTAGGATCACACTGCCAGTCAAGCCAACTGCAATCGTGAATCCTCCTTTCGTCCGAAGCAACGCTCGCGGCGCATGCTCTGTTTGTCTTTCCTTCACCTAGTGGATCCGGCTGAGCGAGTCAAAGTGTTCACATGGAGAAAATTTGGCCCGGCTAAGAGGATGATCCTTGTATCTAAAAGGATGATCCTACTAGGCCGGTCACCCTTCTAACGAGCCAACTGTGACGTTTGTTTCTCAGGTAAACGAATCGCCACGTTTTGAAAGGAAATGTGTATAAAGCTGTCTCGTCCAGTGTGCTCTCGGGCGGGCGAATGATCCCTCTGCTTGCGACATTACACGTTTCTCCATATGAACGAGGCATAAAATGTATTCGAATTCAGATCAGCGTTGGACTTTCCCCCACAGTTCGATTACTTCACCAATGGAAATCTGTAGACTGAACGAAGCATTTATTTCATGAGACTGGAGAGGACGGTTCTCAAAATGACGACAGAATTTAATATCGTTGCAAGTGTTTCCAGACAAATAATAAGTTACTTTGTAAATACAACTGCTGTTTAAACGCTGAATTGTAGGCCTCGTCGTTGAGAAAAATAAGTAACTTGCTCTAGTTAGTGGAACCTTAATTAATTAGAGTCTAGTGTGTATATTTTCTAATTTTATGGGCCTATTTGCACCCAGAAGTCCAAATGAGTTCAACACTAAATTTGAGTTGTCTGGCATCCGTTTGGGAATGTGAAAAAAATAAAGACAATGATCACAATATAAGCTCCTTATCTAGAAGACTGAGAACAGTGTTCTTGTTTTCAGTAAAATTTCTGGACTCTTTTTGTTGTCTTTTTGTTCTTATTGGAGCACTCGGCCAATGAACGAAGCAACAAAACAAAGAAGCCGACCTTGCTCGGAGACGGGTGCGTAGAAATTTGTCTTAACGAAGTAATGTCACCTTCTCCCGGTGAGTTATTATTTTAGTTGATATTTTCGATCGAGTTATGCGATCCAAACGCAAGGTTTAAAGGAACGGATTGCAGGAAGGTGATCTTAAAGTACCACTTTGTAGATTCAGCGGCGTAAAATGTAAGTGTGTTTGCTTTTTCCCGAGAAATTTGATTCTGATTCTAGGCAGCTTTGAAGATCGACCGAGCGATTCTGTCCTACCTTGTCTCTTATTATTACACTGTCAGGTCAGATGATGTAAAAACAAAGACAACGACTCCAGGTAACAATATTTACACTATATTGATAACTTTTATCGCTTTTACTTCATTTAATTCATCTAAGTTTCAAACTCTTTTTTCCCATACAAACTCTCATATTACGGTTGGGCTACCCGTGGTAAAATTAACACACTTCAATCATGGCCGCCCTTACACTCACCAGGTCAGCATGATCGAGTAACAACACTTTTTGCCCGCTCTCTCATTTTAATAAGTCCTGGATGTGAGTCACGGTAAACCGCTGTACTCTACACTAATACTAACAACCCTGAACCGAACCCAGCTGGACTCTGGCTCTTTAAAATTAACATTGAACTTAGTTTTTTCGTAAGTTTCCTATTACACTGATCCAGATCGATGGTTGTTTACCATTTTCAAAAAGTTTCCGGAAAATTTGGTTGTATTTTTAGCGTCTCTCCCCAGTCTCGCTCACTGTTTTCAGCCTCGTTCCAGACCCTTTGTTTTACTGCTCGCACGTACTTGAATACGCAAAAATACGGACTGTCTTGCAGTCTAGAACGGTTATGATCAATCGCGGCAATCGTGTTTGATTTTGCTTTATTTCATACTGCTGCAGTAAGCAAAAATGGTCTACGATCATACTTATAGCGGTCAATGTTGCGAACCTTGCTCGTTTTGTCACGACATAATTCAAGCTTTCTGTGTATTTTATCTCTATGCATCTACATTTTGTATGATTGGATTACCATGATTATGGGACACAGTAAGCATGAACTTAGCACACTGAAAAACCATGTTGTACTCCCAACAAAATTGTGTTACAACACCCCTAATGACTCCCCATGACGGCCACCTCTCCTAAAAGGCCATGATTTCTGTAACAGAGCTAAGCTTCGCCATTTGTTGCAATCAGTTCCTGTCACATGCGAATACATTAGCTCATTTTAACCCAAATTTTTGTTAAGCCCGGGCAGGCAGCTACGCTACTGGTTTTGCCCATGTAAATCGAAAAGACCGGCGAAATCTTTTATTTCATGTTCTTTAAAAAATACGTATCTCGAAGAACCACGCAAAGCTCAAGGGAAAGAGATATAATTAACAGAATAAATTAAGGGGGGAGAAAGAGAGAACCCACCTACATGCGGCTTTTTATGCGAGTTGAAATAATCGCGACATGCGCACACCCCCTAAGTCTTTTTAATAGAAACGTTTGGGTTGACATCGCGGCCGTCTTCCTTGCTGAAGATCCCTTTTTCCTGATGCAATCTTCTGTTTTACAATATCTGTTTCCAAGACGGTCTTATAAATACTAAACCCTTGAATGACCATCTGGAGATCTTTTTCTAGTTTAAAGGAAATTTAAGAAAGAACGGCAGTTAAGTTAGCCTTATCTACGTCGTCTAATATTCATCCGCAGCTTTCTCTTTGCACTATAGACGCGTATCTTCTACAAACGTCCTTCTGGGAACTGTTTGGGACTCTGAAAAAAAAAAATAGATCTAATAAAATACATGAAATACATACAATCATCATTGGTATTTTATTGTAATGATGGTCTTTTTTTAACACTACTTGACTCTATTTGCAGCTGTAACGAACGAATAAAAGTTTAAAAGTTTCTTTTTTAATTTAAACTCTGATTGTAATCTCCCTCACTTTCTGATCAAATGGCCGACGCATAATAATACGTTTCTTTCAAAAAATAAAATAATAATAATAATAATTTTAAAAGTATCATAATAACAAATCTCACCACTTTCTTTGCAAATGGTTTTTGAAGCATGGAACAGCAAAACAACCAACAAGCTAATGGCAGCGAGAGAGCCTGGTACGAATGAAAACACATGACGCACGTAATCCCCACACTCGTTGCAGTTTTCATCGTTACTGCAAAGAAAATTAAACTCGGTTTTACAAAGTTTCAGTTCCTCAAGCATGTTAAATATTTGCCGTTTTCTTATCTTAGATTCCTTTTGAATAAAACTGTTTGGTTGTAGTGGAGGAAATGCTCTTTTGTTCTTAACGAGGACTAAAACATTAAAACGAAGCAGAAATAATTCAAGGTCTATGTATTCATGAAGTTTTCTTATCTTATCTGTGATCGATAGCCTAATAACATCATAACTGAAGAAAGAAATCAATATAAATGCAATGGGCGAAGGGTAAGTGCGGCAGCCAAAAAACCATGTAATATTTTTTTGACTAAATGACTCTTTACTGAGCTGGCCTTTCTACTTAGAAGTTATTTTCTGTCCTAATAAAGAACAAGACGGACGAGGCCGGGCCTCCAACGACTGAACATCAGATTAAAAATTTGACGACCCGTATCATATCCGCTTCAGCGTGCGAGTGAACTCTCCGAGACCCCTCCCCCTTATTCCTCCCCTAACAGCCCCCCTAGAGAGCATTCTCGCGTCAGGCTAATCCATTATGCATTACAGTATACTGACTATACTCTATCACAGATCATTACCCTAGGGTTTGGCATCGTATAATTTGTTACACTTTTTCAGTCATTGCTTGCTGAAAAGTGTGACATTGCCTTCGAGTTGACCTGACGTTACGTTTTATTTTATTTTCGTTTCGCTTGGTTTGTTTTGGAGGGTCTCTTTGGTATGGCTGAGTGAGGAAGGGAGGGAGAGGAATCACAGATGCTGACTACTCTCGGCATGCGGTGGTTCGGCATACCTTCGGAAGTTTACCGAACAGACCTTGTTTGGAAGAAGTTAATAACTCAAGGCCCAAGGGGTGTTTTGAGCATATGATTGATTGCCAATATTTCTCTCTAGGATACCAAGCACAAGATGCATTTTTTCCCCAAAAGTTAATCTCGAGGTCTTCTCGTGCCTTAACGTTATTAGTCACGTGATATGTTGACGAGACCAAAAAATTAAACATGAGGGAAATTGGCTAATTGGCGGCGAATTTACTTTGTTTGCATAAGTAAACTGGCGTTTCTGATAGGAAGAAAACATATTTTTTTTTCTTTCTAAGTTTAGAATGAATGTACTTGAAGTCTAAAATGAAAGTTTCAAGTAATTGAGGATTAAATTTGGACTTTTAAAATGATTTTTCTCCCGTCAAAATGTTTTATTAAAGGGCAATGAACAGTCATTCCAAACGTGAAGTGTTAGACATATTTAATATAATTGAAGAAAATGTTATTGCTTGATTTCGCCACCAGTTTCTCAATTATTGAACTAATTTTCAGAAAAATAGTCACGTGAAATGTCACATGATTTATTAACAGTCACACTATTTATACTTTAAAATGTGCCGGCGCCAAGTTTTGATTCAGCTCCATCTGTGCCGAAGTTATAGCCATAGTTTATAATTTCCCCCAGGTAAACCCATAAGAACCTGAGGCCTTTGAGTACCATTGTAGTTATGCTTGCTATGTTTTGATTGACGGTTGATGTCATTCTCTGACACATAGATTGAGGAAGCTGAAAAGTATTTTTAGACTACAAAGTGCACAATTACCTTCCTTCAGGAAACAAATTCTGTATTGTAGTGATCAATGTTCCGCTAGTTACGTATGACATCAAACTCATAAAAGCAAATACGACACCAGATGTGCTCTATGAAGTAGAAAGAAAATAACTGATCAGAAGAATTGTATTCCACAAAAAAAAGGAGAAAAAATGTAAGTATTTTTGTAATCAAAGGGTTATGGTGTTACATGGTGATTCTTTGTAGTTATTGTAAAAAATTAATCTTAATCGTCGTCCCTTTCTTCGGCATTTAAATGAGTGAACTCACTTTGTTGTCTCCAATGAGTTCCGCAGCAAAGCTTAGTGCATTTACGAGCATGGCGGAAAAGCCAAACCCCAGTAACACAGTGGCTGGGTAGGTCATTACTCTGTTGGACTTGGTGATGAAATAAAACCATACACCAGCTGTAATCCCGAACAGGGCAGCAAGGACAAAACACCACTGGAAAAAAAACGAAAACACGAGTGTTAAAATTAACTTAATTAAAGTTAACCAACTAGAAAATGTTGGTGGTTTTGTCAAAGACCAAGCAACTCATTGTACTAGATTCATAGCGTAAATTTAGAGCCGTAACAAATAAAGCTAGTTATCTCCATATGAGGGGTGCAAAAGATACAAGAAAAAAAGAACAATTTTTGTAGTCTGCAAAGAGTCTTTTATTTTGCTCAAAGTTACGGTGGCACCAAGCACGAGCGGTGAGATGGCGAAGCTGCGAGAGGTGAGAAACGTTTTTCAATTTCAATTTCAAACAAGGTATTTACGGTTTTGAAAAATTTAGAAATGCATCGGGCTTTGGTGTAGTTAAAAGGACGCCCGGGACCCGGCCTTTCATGCAGTTTAAACGCACCCATATGCCCCGGCCCATAATGCAAACCGACACGGAACCCCCGGAGGTAGCCTGCTATGAAACCGCAATTTTCGAACAAGCATTCCTGAAGCACAACTGGACCACTTCAGTTGGAAATGTACGTAAACCCAAGAAAGAATAAGATAGAGAGATGTATTGCTTCATTGCTAAAAGTGCGTTTCGCTTTTTCGTTTCTCGGACAATAATTTTAAAAAAATCTAGGTAATGATTCTTACCTTGCTTCGAATTATGGCTACAAGTTTCTTGGACAGTGCCGAAGACAATGCTGCACTTATCAACATGATAAGTGGCAAATACGCTATGGCCTCCTGTTCAAAGCGTAGAGCAAAAATTATTAAAAACCTAGCACCAACTTACTGACGACGTCTTAATGAAACACAAGACCGTGAATATCTTTTCAAAGCAACCCATCTCTAATACATGCCGGTATTACCAAAAGCAGATTGAAAATAGAATTAAAGTAACATTCAAAGTGCCATTATCTGAAAATATCTGGCCAATTATTTGAATTAAGGTATATGGTCTAGAGTGTCCAATACGGGTGCGGTACATAAAATTTATACAGAACTTGTACTAGATGCTTCATGCTCCTGAAAATGACTTTGCGCAGGTGGCACTAGCTATGTGTCTAATTTTTGTGAGTATATGATTTATATAGATACCCTACCCCCGGCCCCTACCTTTCCAAACTGTACTCTGTAGATAAGAAACAATGGAAGATAGGCATACGCCAGGCTTATGACAGACATTGTGCACGTGAAGATGATAGCCACCTACGTGAAGAAATCACAAACAGACAAAATTTTCGATCAGAACTGGATGGGTAACTAATTTCAAGCAGAAAAACTTACAAATCCCAATATAAAAAAGCAAAAGCAGAAAAAAAACTAAGAACCTAAATCACCTTATATAGATGTGGATCCTTGAGCCAGGCTCGTACTGTCTTAGGTTTGGGTGAAACTGGACGTGCAGATTCGAGGTCACCAGATGTAACTCGGGGAACTGTTTTGGTCGTGTTGGTTTGTGACGCAGGAACACCCAATTCTGTTTCACACTTATATCCTTCATTGTCCACACCAAGGTGCTCGATAGAAACTGAAGAGTTAGCTGTGAAATCTGTTGCTCCTATTCCGATGTTTGTTCCTTGAATGCCGTTTACTTTATCAACAATGTTCCCTGGTGACTCAGAGTTTGTATCCATCTTTGACTCTTCGTTCATCTGTTCATCAGTAGCGGGGTCAACACCTATCAATCCATAAACTATACTCACAAGAACACTTATTTTTCGTTCATTAGGCAGACTTTTGACGCCTTTTAACATTTCTTCCTCGCTCTGATCTTTTGGTTTAAAAGAAAAACACCCGTCTATCCCGCCTGAGCGTTTGGAAGCTGATTCATTCAAGCTCTTGCTGTCAGCCGGTAATTGTTCTCCAGCTATATTTTCGTCATTTTCTTCATTAGAAAATAGGGCTTGGATAAAGCGCCTCGGAAAACTCTGCTTTCTCGAAGGTTGTTTCTCAGTGTCGCCTGTCTTATTTCCTTCGGCCTTGGCCATCATACCATCGATGAAAGCGTCACGCATTGTTTGCTTTTGAAGATTCACATCTTGGCAGAAGAAAAATGAAATAGTTAAAAACTTAATTAACTTGTAACTTAAAGCTGCTGCAGTTACAATTGCTGCAATATACAGCTATTTCGAGAAAGGATGTCGGAAAAAGTGCAGGCGACAATCCCGAAAGGTAATGTGGGTGCATTGCGTTCACTCAAGTTCCTCCAGGAAATTTGAGAGAATGGCACGAGAGGCCATGGACGTATGTTTGCGAGTGCTTGTGGAAAACAAAAAAAAGTAAGTTCGACAGCTACTGTGTTAGGAACAGTGTATTGATCATATCCCATATTATCTTCCGGGATTGTCGCGTGCACAACCTTTAAGACAACCTTTCTCAAAATAGCTGTATAAAGCGTTTCCACTCACATGGCCTGTTGCTACGCAAATTTATTGGAACAAAAGAATGTTTTTACACAAGAAAAAGGTTCAGCTATCAAAGGACTGGTTTGATACACCAACATGGCTGCCATTTTATAGTTTTGTTACTAAACAATATGGCGGACGTGACGTCATGTTGAACGAATATGAATGGAAACCGACAACAGGCAACAAAAAGCCGCGTAACCTGGAAATTTATTCCAAGAAAATAACTGGGCTGTACCATGTCATGTTTAATTTGGAGATACGATTCCCTGCATCATGCCAAACGTAATTGTAGTGTCCAAACTGAATTGGTGAAGCTCAGTACACTTGATAAATTTCGGTTGAATTAATTAATCATACCTTTTCCTTGAAACGTCATCGCGCTAACCGGGGTGTGTGATGGAATAAAAGATATCTTTCTCTAAAGAAAGAGTAGAGGAGAAAACAGCTTTAAAAATAATCGCATCGAAGGCCAGTTTAGATCTAACCATCCTAGCTTAGTTTCATATTCTTATTAAACATATAACGTCATTTTTTTATAGGTTGTCTTCTTCGTATGGTCTAAAGCGAGCTCGGTCTTAGTGCGAAAGTCAGTTTGGAACTCTCTGCGTTCTCTGTAATGCACCTTCCGATCCGCTGAAAAGCTGTTATCCTGAGTTACAATTAATTATTTAATATTTAAAAGTTCCGGATTTTTATTAAGGGTGGGTTATTAGGTAAACATTTACCAAATCTTACCGATTTGTTTTTGGATAATTTTCCAACACTTTCTTCAGAAGGTTCTTTTGTTCCAACGTGAAAGATTACAGCAAATAGTAGACTTATTCCAACCAGAATTAAAGTCAAAACCTGAAATGTAATTAAAGGAGAAAAGAAGCTAAAAGAATGTGCTTTCGTGCGTGCAAGAGATATTGTTTAAGTAATATTCCAAGTATTCATACCGTAAAATCCATCGAGTTCTCTGCCGATATATGGTCGCTGCTATCTTGTCCTATTATCAACCATGCGACGATGAAGGTCATAATGCCACTCAAGAAGGAAAAAGCAGTCCTTTAAGAAAACGAATGAAATGTGATAATAAAATGTGCGACTTTATAAATGCCTCCTCAGTTCAGCTGAAACATTGACGAATAATTTGACTTAAAACCACCTCAATTACAAAAGAAATTTCAATTTAATGTTACTGAGAGAATAATAATAAAAAAAATGCCAATGTACCTCCATGCGTTCAGTTCAACAGCTTCGCTTTGATCTTTAGCGATGGCAGGAATAATCGAAAGATGGCTAATTTCCATCAAGCCGAATGAAAATGACAAGATTGTATTAAGAACTGGGATGTATATCATCTGTTGCCATTGCCCTTGATCGCTTTGACAAAGGAAACAGGAGCTGAAGTAGAGTGGAATGGCGATTGCACCCACCATAGTACCAATCAAATGCCATGCCTTCCTTTTTCCAAGCGTCTTGGACAAATACGGAATTTTGAAGTTGTCAATCAGGAACGCACCGATTGCTGAAGATGTTGCAGCAGTGATAAGTCCATAAAGCATCAACCAGCCGGCATTGGCAGCAGAGAGACCAAAAACTTGCATAAATATAACCAAACGAAATGAAAACAGAAGCTGACGAGTGATGTCATTCATCACGTGACCAACTCCACAGGCAAAGCGTTGGAAGAATGGCGTTCGAGAGTTCAAACCTGACTCCGAATTATGACAGCAAAGTTTAGAAATTCCCATGCTGGCAAGAGATAAACATGCATTTTTTTTTAACTTGGGGGATTAGTTTTACAAACTACCAAACTGAACTACACTGATATTTTTAACGTTAAGGTCGACTCGAAGAACGGTCAAATCAAATTGGTATTTATAGGTTGTCAGTCTTTATACCGATTATGCATATTAACCTAAATGGTCGCACCTAGGAATTGACTTGACTTGACTTATAGTTGTTTATCTAAAATAGTTTCTGAACCTCTGTAATTTCAGGCCATATCGAGTTCAAATTGAATAAATACAGTCAGCATGTATATAGCTTCTACCTCAACGAGGGATGTTCTGGAAACTACTTTTTAATTCAGTCTAACTTAATCTTTTGGTCAACTGACTTGAGTCAAACTGCTACATCATTAGGCACTTTATTTTGCTACTAAAATTGCCTTACGTTGCATTTATTTCCAGAAATTGGGGTAAGAGCATTATCCAAATGAAAAACGAGAATTAAAAGTATCACTGAAGAAGGAGTTTCTTGATGCACAAAGATATTAAAGACTTTAAGACCAAACGACGCGGACGACAACGAGAACTTTCTACAGGTAATTTATAAGAAAAAAAAAACAACTTTGCACGTGCATTACGCTAACCTTGTTTGTACATTTCTTTGCCCGTTTTTGCATAACGACCTGAAAATGCCTAATTTCGCGTTTTAAGGTGATGTCGCAACGACGATTCTTAGAGCAACACAGCATTGCAACATTGTTGCCACGTTGTTTCGAATACCTACCACATTTTTCCAACATTGCAACATTGACTTATGTGTTGTCGCAAAAATCGTCGTTGCAAATCGTCCCGTGTAACACCACCTTTATGGACTACGTAAACAGGCAACGACGAAATTGATTTCTCTTTCTGAACTTGAATATGGTTCCTAGCAATTCAACTCCAGGAGGGTTCGGCTGGATTTGACAAAGTCACTGAGTAGGAACAATTGCGATGTAGACTGAAAGAACGCAAAATTCACTTTTTAAGCGGCGTTCTCGTAGACGTCGCGTCGTTGGATCTTAACGTCGACGACTTTGATTCCGAATCCCGTATCGAATGTCAGTGATTAACGGACAAACATGTTTGTGAATCACATAGCCAATTAGAAACTGTAGTGAAAACAAGGCTCGCGAAGAGCGTAGCAGAACATACGGAGTTGAGATATCAAAACCGAGACGAAGGCCAAAAATAATTCAAATCACTGCACATAAAAATTACTAATTTTAGTTACAACAGTTGAAGTGCGTTGTTACGTAATAAAAATTAAAGGACTCACCTTTCAGGAGAACGCAGCAAGGTAAATAAATGCACCGTTTTTCCGTTTCTGAAAGTTAAACTGATTCGCAAAGCTATCATGCAAAGCTATTTGCAAGCGTTACAGGAAATCCAAAATAGTTACTATACAATCTTCGTCGGCTCACTAAATTTAAATCATCTTTGACTGGACGGGATGTTTTCAAACCCACCTTTTAGAAAAAGATTTAAATAAGCTCAAGGTCAGGGGTGAATACTTTTATTCTCATTGATAACGCAAGAAGTCATGGATGAATTGATGCAGTTAGTATTTTAAGGGCACCTGCTTTGTGAAACGTAACGGGTTCTCGGTAAGATGTTCGCTTGAAGAAAATGCAATAAGTGGTGTTTAAAATTATCACTAAAATGTGAACAGAAACCAGAAGTCATAAGGGCGCTAAGCCCCGGACCACACATCGAAGTAATCGAAGTACATTATCATGAAACGTATAATCGAATAATCATAAATGCTTGAGTAACTTTGACCATAGTTATAAAGTCTTATAGTCTTTGTGCGGTTGGTACATGTAGCTTAACAGCACTAAAGAAGCACTTTGCATTGACGTAATCGTACGGCGTGGTCATCAAGATTCAACTCCATTTGTCTTATATCATGTCTTCTGCCGATTTTATTTGTGATTTTTCTGTCAAATTACATTATTTTCTGTTCAAAGTGGAACGGGAGAATAGTTTAATTCGATCTATGACGAATCCCAAAGCAGATGTTTCCACAAAGGAGGGGCGTTTTTTTCCCTCCAGCTTCCTTAGGGCCACAATTTTATCAGTTTAGACCATAACTGTCAAGTGTTACCGGCCTCTATAAATAAAGGCGTCTCTTCACTTCACATCGGAATGGAGGAAGTGTGATCCCAGTCACTCTAACTGTATCGATGAACTTCCAGTCTGGTTCTAATAGTAGAAAATGTATAGAGCCGTCAGCTCAGTCATACTCTAAAGCACTGCAATAATTAGGAAGACTTTCAAAATGCTCAGTTCATGCGGGTCACTTTTTTAATGCGCCACATATTATGCATGCAACGAGGTCACGTTTCTGATATCCTTGATCACAGGAAATATCCGGCTCTTGTATTCTTCAATTTTAAGTCGGTAAATTTCGTATCAATTGATGGGCTAAATTTTTCCCACAGTGTTTTGTTGGGGTGGCTCAGACCTTTTCATTTACAAGCTTAGAAATAAATGGGCTTGGAGAAATATAAAAGTAAGTAAAGTAAAGTAAAGTAAAGTAAAGTAAAAGCTTTATTAATGCGTCAATGTATTTAGTTTTCACAACTAATTGGGGACACAAAAATAAAAATTATTTACAAATAAGAAATAATAATAATAATAATAATAATGTATATACAATTAAAATATGTCGCATGTATAAATTGTATAATAAAACAATCGGTATATAAAAGGTAGTCTCTAAGAATTGCAAAGGTTACAGCAGCTATTGTTGTTGTTTAAGAGTGACGTTAGGTCTTTTTTCCTAATGTTCTTTTTGAAAGATTCAATATTCGAGGAGCCTTTCAATTTAATATCTAGTTTCGATCATATATGAGGTCCTTGCATTATTATCTAAGAGAATGCTTTCCATAGTTAAGTCGGAATATCAAAATCACTGTTTCTTAGTGAATAACTAGTGCTTTTCCGCTTAAATAGTTCGTTAACAATACTCGGTGCGAGGCCATATTTTTCTTTGTAGATTAATATAGCGATTATCTTGTAGTCCTCGATTTAGTAGTGAAGGTAGCTCTGCAAGAACCAGTAGGTTTTCGTATGATTTCGTAAAAAAAAACTAGATGCCAGTAAGTCTGCAGGTGATTCCACACAATCCTATTCAGATCATCTGTAGACTTGAAATAATTGCGACATGCGTACAGCCCCTAAGTCTTGTTAGTAGAAACGTTTGGGCTGAAGGTCTTAAGTTCCCTTTTTCCTGATGCAATCTTCTGTTTTACAATATCTGTTTCCAAGACCGTCTTGTAAATACTAAACACTTGAAGGACCATCGAGAGATCTTTTGCTAGTTTGAAGGTCAAATTTAAGAAAGAATGGCCGGAGCTAGCCTTATCTACTTCGTCTAATATTCATCCGCAGCTTTCTCCTTGCACTATAGACGGGTATCTTCTACAGACGTCCTTCTGGGAACTGTTTGAGACTCTGAAAAAAATATAGATCTAATAAAATACACGAACTGCATACAATGACCATTGGTATTTATTGTTGTCATATGATGATCTCTTTTTTAACACTACTTGACTCTATTTGCTGCTCTAAACGAACGAATAAAAGTTTAAAAGTTTCTTTTTTATTCTAAACTCTGATTGTAATCTCCCTCACTTTCTGATCAAATGACCGACACATATTAATACGTTTCTTTCAAAAAAAAAAAATAATAATAATAATAAATAACAATAACTCCAAAAGTATCATAATAACAAAACTCACCACTTTCTTTGCAAATGGTTTTTGAAGCATGGAACAGCAAAACAACCAACAAGCTAATGGCAGCGAGAGAGCCTGGTACGAATGAAAACACGTGACGTACGTAGTCTCCACACTCGTCGCAGTTTTCAGCGTTACTGCAAAGCAAAATTAAACTCAGTTTTGCGAAGAGTCAGTTTCTCAAGCATGTTAAATTTTTGCCGTTTTCTTATCCCTGATTTCCTGCGAATAAAATTGTTTGGTTATAGTGGAGGAAATGCTCTTTTGGTCTTAGCGAGGACTAAAAAAGCGAAGCAGCCTGAAATATTTCAATGTCTGTATATTCATGAAGTTTTCTTATCCGTGGTCAAGAGCCTAATAACATCATAACTGAAAAAAGTGATCAATATAAATTGGCCAAGGATGGTCAATCAGTGTTGCAGCCAAAAAAACCGTGTGGTATTTTTTGACTTAAGGACTCTTTACCGAGACGTTTTTACCGACACTGTAAATTAAAAAGATTTACACTGTAAATTAAAAAGATCTGTTTCAGCCCCAAAGTGTCAATTCAGCCCTGCAGGCCAAAGTCTGATTCAGCCCTTCTTGGAGCCATTTGAGCGCAATTTAGGCCAAAAAAGCTCTATCAAAAGGCTATTCCAGCCCACGGTAGGGCCCATTTCAGCCCTGGGACCAAAATTAGCCCTAGCTAATTGGACTGTATTGGCCCTGATTTAAGGGAGCCAAATTAGACCCAAAAATAGGACTGTATTTTACTCACCGAAACGGCCCGGGCCTCGAACGACTGAACGTCAGATTAAAAATTTGACAAACCGTATCAAGTCCGCTTCAGCATGCGAGTGAAGTCTCCGAGACCCCTCCCCCTTATTCCTCCCCTTTGAGCCTCCCAGGGGGCATTATCACAGGCTAATCTGCATTATGATCCCATCGTGCATTACAGTATACTCTATAACAGATCATTACCCTATTGGTTTGGCATCTTATGGCTTATACTTTTTCGGCCATTGCTTGCTGAAAAGTGGGACATTGCCTTCGAGTTGACCTGACGTTAGGTTTTATTTTCGTTTCGCTTGATTTGTTTTGGAGGGTCTCTATTGTATGGCTGAGTAAAAGGGGGGGGAAGAGAAGGAGGAATCGCGTCGGGATTTGCTACCTTCGGCTGGTCGCTACTCTCAGCATGCGGTCGTTTGGCATATCTTCGGAAGTTTACCGAACAGACAATGTTTGGAAGAAGTTAATAACTCAAGGCCCAAAGGGTGTTTTGAGCATATGATTAACTGGCAATTTTTCTCGCTACGATTCCAAGAACAAGATGCATTTTTCCCCAAAAGTTCATCTCGAGGTCTTCTTGTGCCTTAACATTATGGTCACGTGATATGTGACGAGACCAAAAAAATTAAACATGAGGGAAATTGGCTAATTGGTGGCGAATTTACTTTGTTTGCATTAGTAAATTGGAATCTGATGGGAGGAAAACATATTTTTTTTCTTTCTAAGTTTGGAATGAAGTCTAAAATGAAAGTTTCAAGTAATTCAAGATTAAATTTGGGCTTTTAAAATGATTTTTTTTCCCTGAAAAATTTTTATTCAAGTGCATATGAACAGTCATTCCGAACGTGAAGTGTTAGAAATATTTAATATAAGTGAAGAAAATCAGTGTTATTTCTTGATTTCGCCACCAGTTTCTCAATTATTGAACTGATTTTCAGAAAAATAGTCACGCGTGAAATATCACATGATTTATTAACACACTATTTATACTTTAAAATGTTAAGGACAATGAGTATTTTTTGTGCCGGCGCCAAGTTTTGATTAAACTCCATCTGTGCCGAAGTTATAGCCATAGTTATGAATTCCCACAGGTAAATCCATTAGATCCTGAGGCCTTTGAGTACCATTGTAGTTATGCTTGCTATGTTTTGATTGACGATTGATGTCATTCTCTGACACATAGATTGAGGAAGCTGAAAATTATTTTTAGACTACAAAGTGCACAATTACCTTCCTTCAGGAAACAAATTCTGTATTGTACTGACCAATATTCCGCCAGTTACGTATGACATCAAACTCATAAAAGCAAATACGACACCAGATGTGCTCTATAAAGCAGAAAGAAAATACCCGATCAGAAGAATTGGTATTCCACAAAAAAGGAGAAAAAATGTAAGTATTTTTGTAATCAAAGGATTATGGTGTTACATGGCAATTCTTTGTAGTTATTGTAAAAAATCAATCTTAATCGTCGTCCTTTTCTTCGGCGGCATTTAAATGAGTGAACTCACTTTGTTGTCTCCAATGAGTTCGGCAGCAAAGCTTAGTGCATTCACGAGCATGGCGGAAAAGCCAAACCCGAGTAACACAGTGGCTGGGTAGGTCATTACTCTGTTGGACTTGGTGATGAAATAAAACCATACACCAGCTGTAATCACGAAGAGGGCAGCAAGGACAAAACACCACTGGAAAAAAAAACAAAAACAAAAACAAAGCACGCAGTGTTAAAATTAACGTAATTAAAGTTACTTACTAAAAAATATTGGTGTTTTTGTCAAAGGCCAAGCAACTAATTGTTCTAGATTCATAGCGTAAATAAAGACCCGTAACTAATAAAGCTACTTATCTCCATATGAGAGGTGCAAAAGATACAAAGAAAGAAACAAACATATGTTTTTTTAGTCTGCAAAGAGTCTCTTATTTTCTTCAACTGAGTTACGGTGGTAGCAAGCTCGAGCGGTGAGATTGCGAAGCTGCGAGGGGCGAGAAACGAAGGCGTTAGCCGTGAGTAACGGATCTAAGAGAAAAGTTGGACTGTGAGTAGTCTTTTACATTACGTTTTAAATTTCAATTTCAAACAAGGTATTTACGGTTTTGAAAAAAATTAGAAATGCAGCGGGCTTTGGTGTAGTTAAAAGGACGCCTGGGACCCGGCCTTACAAGCAGTTACACTGCACCCATACGCCTCATAATGCAAACCGACACGGAACCCTCGGAGGTCGCCTCCAAAGAAACCGCAATTTTCGAACAAGCATTCCTGAAGCACAACTGGACCACTTCAGTTGGAAATGTACGTAAACCCAAGACAGAACAAGATAGAGAGATGTATTTCTTCATTGCTTAATGTGCGTTTCGCTTTTTCGTTTATAGGACAATAATTTCAAAAAAATCTAGGAAATGATTCTTACCTTGCTTCCAATTATGGCTACAAGTTTCTTGGACAGTGCCGAAGACAATGCTGCACTTATCAACATTATAAGTGGCAAATACGCTATGGCCTCCTGTTCAAAGCGTAGAGCAAAAATTATTAAAAACCTAGCACCAACTTACTGACGACGTCTTAGTGGAACACAAGACCGTGAATATCTTTTCAAAGCAACCCATCTCTAATGCATGCAGGTATTACCAAAAGCAGATTAAACTAATAGAATTAAAGTAAAATTCAAAGTGCCACTATCTGAGTATATCTGGCCAATTATTTGAATTAAGGTATCATCCATATATGGTCTATAGTGTCCAATACGGGTGCGGTATATCAATACAGAACTTGTACTAGATGCTTCATGCTCCTGAAAATGACTTAGCGCAGGTGGCACTAGCTATGTGTCTACTTTTTGTGAGTATATATATACCTTACCCCCGGCCCCTACCTTTCCAAACTGTACTCTGTAGATAAGAAACAATGGAAGATAGGCATACGACAGGCCTATGACAGACATTGTGCACGTGAAGATGATAGCCACCTACGTGAAAAAATCACAAACGGACAAAATTTTCGATGAGAACTGGATGGGTAACTACAATTCCATGCAGAAAAATTTACAAATCCCAATATAAAAAAGCAAAAGCAGAAAAAAACCAAGAACCTAAATCACCTTATATAGATGTGGATCCTTGAGCCAGGCTCGTACTGTCTTAGGTTTGGGCGAAACTGGACGTGCAGATTCGAGGTCACCAGATGTAACTCGGGGAACTGTTTTGGTCGTGTTGGTTTGTAACGCAGGAACACCCAATTCTGTTTCACACTTATATCCTTTATTGTCAACACCAAGGTGCTCGATAGAAACTGAAGAGTTAGCTTTGAAATCTGTTTCTCCTATTCCGATGTTTGTTCCTTGAATGCCGTTTACTTTATGAACAATGTTCCCCGGTGACTCAGAGTTTGTATCCATCTTTGACTCTTCGTTCATCTGTTCATCAGTAGCGGGGTCAACTCCTATCAATCCATAAACTATACTCACAAGAACACTTATTTTTCTTTCATTAGGCAGACTTTTGACGCCTTTTAACATTTCTTCCTCGCCCTGATCGTTTGGTTTAAAAGAAGAACACCCGTCTATCTCGTCTGAGCGTTTGGAAGCTGATTCATTCAAGCCCTTGTTGTCAGCCGGTAATTGTTCTCCAGCTATATTTTCGTCATTTTCTTCATTAGAAAAAAGGGCTTGGATAAAGTGCCTCGGAAAACTCTGCTTTCTCGAAGGTTGTTTCTCAGTGTCGCCTGTCTTATTTCCTTCGGCCTTGGTCTTCATGCCATCGATGAAAGCGTCACGCATTGTTTGTTTTTGAAGATTCACATCTTGGCAGAAGAAAAATGAAATAGTTAAAAACTTAATTAACTTGTAACTTAAAGCTGCTGCAGTTACAATTACTGCAATATACAGCTATTTCGAGAAAGGATGTCGGAAAAAGTGCAGGCGACAATCCCGAAAGGTAATGTGGGTGCATTGCTTTCACTCAAGTTCCTCAACGAAATTTGAGAGAATGGCACGAAAGGCCATGGACGTATGTTTGCGAGTGCTTGTGGAAAGCAAAAAAGTGTATTGATCACTAGTATCCCATATTATCTTCCAGGATTGTCGCGTGCACATTTTTTGGACGGCCTTTCTCGAAATAGCTGTATAAAGCGTTTCCACTCACATGACCTGTTACACATGACCTGTTGCAAATTTATTGCAACAAAAGAAAGTTTTTATGGAAGAAAAAGGTTCAACTGTCAAAGGACTGGTTTGATACACCAGCATGGCTGACATTTTATAGTTTTGTAACTATAAATATGGCGGACGTGACGTCATGTGAAAACGCTGTTTTTGTTGAACGTATATTGATGGCAACCGACGACAGGCAATAAACAGCCGCGTAACCTGGAAATTCATTCCAAGAAAAAAAACTGGGCTGTGCCATATCAATAGGCATTTGCAAGAAACATTTCCTTACTGAACCGCTTGTGAGTATCCTTCTTTCGAATCGGTACGTCTGGCCGTGTTTGGAGATACGACTCCCTACATCATGCCAAACGTGATTGGAGTGTCCAAACCAAATTGGTGAAGCTACACTTGATAAATTTCGGTTGAATTAATTAATCATACCTTTTGCTTGAAACATCATCGCGCTAACCAGGGTGTGTGATGGAATAAAAGATATCTTTCTCTAAAAGGAGAAAAGGAGGAAACAGCTTTAGATTAAAAATAATCGCACCAAAGGCAAGTTTAGATTTAACCCTCCTAGCTTAGTTTCATATTCTTATTAAACAATTATAACGTCATTTATTCAATTCATAGTTTGTCTTCTCCGTATGCAAAGCGAGCTTGGTCCTAGTGCCAAAGACAGTTTGGAACTCTCTGCGTTCTCTATAATGCACCTTCCGAACCGTACCGATTTAAGTTACGCGGAAAAGCTGTTACTGAGTTACAATTAATATTTAATATTTACTGGTTCCGGATATTTATATGAAGGGTGGGTTATTAGGTAAACATTTACCAAATCTTACCGGTTCGTTTTTGGATATTTCTCCAACACTTTCTTCAGAAGGTTCTTTTGTTCCAACGTGAAAGATTACAGCAAATAGTAGACTTATTCCAACCAGAATTAAAGTCAAAACCTGAAATGTAAAGGAGAAAAGAAGCTAAAAGAACGTGCTTTCGTGCGCGCAATATATATTTATATTGTTTAAGTAATATTCCAAGTATTTATACCGTAAAATCCATCGAGTTCTCTGCCGATATATGGTCGCTGCTATCTTGTCCTATTATCAACCATGCCACGATGAAGGTGACAATGCCACTCAAGAAGGAAAAAGCAGTCCTTTAAGAAAACGAATAAAATGTGATAAGAAAATTTTGAGACTTATATGTCTATTTATTTTATTTTATTACCTTCGCCCGTTACTGAACAATGAGTAATAATTTAATGCTTAATAGGCAGGGGTGCCACAACAACGGTGAGCCAATTACATTGGTCGCAGTCCCAGTGACTCCTCAGTTCACCTGAAACGTCGACGAACAACTTAACTTAAAACCACCTTAATACAAAAGAAATTTCAATTTAATGTTACTGAGAGGATAAATAAAAAAAAAATATGCCATACCTCCATGCGTTTAATTCAACAGCTTCACTTTGATCTTTAGCGATGGCAGGGATAATCGAAAGATGGCTAATTTCAATCAGGCCGAATGAAAATGACAAGATTGTATTAAGACCTGCGATATATATCATCAGTTGCCATTGCCCTTGATCGCTCTGACAAAAGAAACAGGAGCTGAAGTAGAATGGAGTGACAATTGCACCCACCACAATGCCTATCAAATGCCATGCCTTCCTTCTTCCAAGCCTCTTGGACAAATATGGAATTTTGACGTTGTCAATCAGGAACGCGCAGATTGCTGAAGATACTGCAACAATGATAAGTCCGTAAAGCATCAACCAGCCGGCATTGGCAGCAGAGAGACCAAACACTTGCATAAATATAACCAAACGAAATGAAAACAGAAGCTGACGAGTGATGTCATTCATCACGTGACCAACTCCACAGGCAAAGCGTTGGAAGACTGGCGTTCGAGAGTTCAAACCTGACTCCGAATTATGGCAGCAAAGTTTAGATATTCCCATGCTTGTAATTTGCTGACAAAAGATAAACATGCATTTTTTTTTTAACTTGGGGTTTGGTTTTACAAACAACCCAACTGAACTCCACTGATATTTTTAACGTTTTAAGGTCGACTAGAAGAACGGTCAAATCAAATTAATTCTTATTTATAGGTTGTCAGTCTTAATGCAGGTTATGCATAACCTAAATGGTCGCACCTAGGACTTGACCTTGTGAAATAACTGTACGTTTCTCTCTTATATTTCGTTAATCTTTTTATAGTCATTGTCGGTTAGAAGAAAAACGCGAGAATCGTGTATTAAAGCCTGCGTTTTTATAGGGCCACATCTATTTATTTATATGACTAGAGTCGTTTATCTAATAGAAATAGTTTCTGAATCAGTCTAATTTCAGGCTATTATCAAGTTCAAATTGAATAAACACAGTCAGCCTGTAATAGGTTCCACTTCAACGAAAGATGTTCTGGAAACTATTTTTTAATTTAGTCTAACATAATCTTTTGGTCAACTGACTTGAGTCAAACTCCTACATCATTAGGCACTTTATTTTGCTACTAAAATTGCCTTACGTTGCATTTACTTCCAGAAATTGGGGTAAGAGCATTATGAAAATGAAAAACGAGAATTAAAAGTATCACTGAAGAAGGAGTTTCTTGATGCAGAAAGATATTAAGGACTTTAAGACCCAACGAAGCGGACGACAACGAGACCTTAAAAAAACAACAGGTTCTTTAAAGCAAAACAACAACTTTGCACGTGCATTACACGCTAACCTTGTTTGTACATTTCTTTGCCCTTTTTTGCATGACTACGACGTGAAAATGCCTGTTTTCGCGTTTTAAGGTGATGTTACATGAGACGATTCGCAACGACGATTTTAGCGCAACACAGCATTGCAACATTTTTGCCACGTTGTTTCGAAAAGCTACCACATTTTTCCAACATTGCAACGTTGACTTATGTGTTGTCGCGAAAATCGTCGTTGCGAATCGTCTCGCGTAACACCACCTTTATTGACTACGTAAACAGGCAACGACGAAATTGATTTCTCTTTCTTAACATGATTATGGTCCCTGGGAATTCAACTCCAGGAGGGTTCGGCTGGATTTGACAAAGTAAGTGGGTAGGAGCAATTGCGATAAAGACTGGAAGAACGCAAATTCACTTTTTAAGCAACGTTCTCGTAGAGGTCGCCTCGTTGGATCTTAATGTCGACGACTTTGATTCCGAATCCCGTATCAAATGTCAGTGATTAACGGACAAACATGCTTGTGAATCACATAGCCAATTGGAAACTGCAGTGAAGATCCAGAAAAGCTCGGGAAGACCGTAGCAGAACATATGGAGTTGAGATAACAAAACCGAGGCGAAGGTCAAAAATAATTCAAATCACTGCACTTAAAAATTACTCATTTTAGTTATAACAGTTGAAGTGGGTTATTAGGTAATAAAAATAAAAGGAAAACAATCCACCGTTTAAAATATGGTTACTCACCTTTCAAGAAAACCCAGCAAGGTAAATAAATGAAACTTTTTTCCGTTTCTGAAAGTTAAACTGATTCACAAAGCTAACCAAGCTATTTGCAAGCGTTACAGGAAATCCAAAATAGTTATATACAATCTTCGTCGGCTAACTAAATTTACGTCATCATTGACAAGCCTAGGACGGGATGTTTTTAAACCCACCTTTTAGAAAAAGATTTACATAAGCTCATGGTCAGGGGTGAATACTTTTATTCTTATTGATAACGCAAGAAGTCATGGATGAATTGATGCAGTTAGTATTTTAAGGGCATCTGGTTTGTGCAACGTAACGGGTTCTCGGTAAGATGTTCGCTTGAAGAAAATGCAATAAGTGGTGTTTAAAATTATCACTAAAATGTGAAGAGAAACCGGAAGTCATAAGGGCGCTAAGCCCCGGACCACACATCGAAGTAATCAAAGTACATTATCATGAAACGTATGATCGAATAATCATAACTGCTTCAGTACCTTTGACCATAAAGAAGCACTTTGCATTGACGTAATCCTACAGCGTGGTCATCAAGATTCAACTCCATTTGCCTAGTATATCATGTCTTCTGCCGATTTATTTGTGATTTTTCTGTCAAATTACATTATTTTCTTTTCAAAGTGGAGCGGGAGAATAGTTTAATTCGATCTATGACGAATCCCAAAGCAGATGTTTCCACAAAGGAGGGGCGTTTTTTTTTTCCTCCAGCTTCCTTTGGGCCACAATTTTATCAGTTTAGACCATAACTGTCAGGTGTTCGTACCGGCCTCTATAAATAAAGGCGTCACTTCACCTCACTTCGGAATGGAGGAAGTGTGATCCCAGTTACTCCCACTGTATCGATGAACTTCCTGTCTGGTTCTAATACCGGAAAATGGATCAGTCAGCTAAGTCATACTCTAAACACTGCAAAAATTAGGAAGCCTTTCGAAATGCTAAGTTCGTGCGTGTCAATTTTTTAATGCACCACATATTATCCATGCAACGAAGTCACGTTTCTGATATCCTCGATTACAGGATATCCGGCTCTTGTATTCTTCAATTTTAAGTCGGTAAATTTCGTATCAATTGATGGGCTAAATTTATCACACAGTGTTTTGTTCGGGTGGCTCAGACCTTTCCATTTACAAGCTTGGGCTTGGAGAAATATATAAAACTAGATGCCAGTAAGTTTGCAGGTGATTCCACACAATCCTATATATTCTTCTGTAGAGATTGCTAGCTTAAAAATAAAACCGATATTGTCTAGTAAGTTTATGGTACGGTCTGGTCGTCTGATGTAAGTAGCATACATTTTTGTAACACTGGTGATACAAATTGGTATTAGTCTTTCTAGCCTACAAAATAGGCGTTTTCAGGCGTTTATTATTATCAAAATATTAAATATTCATTTTTAATATTTTAAATTTATGCTAGTTTTTCTGCGCCTTCCCCTGTCGCACGTGTCTGGCGCTCTGACGCCCGCTCGCTCGCCCACGCCATCTCACGCACACCTTGAGATAGCCTGCTCTTGCCTGAAAAAACGCTAAAAAATAGCGCCTGTTATGCTAGCTATATAGTCTTGCCTAAGAGAGGAAATCTAATTTCCATCACTGTTATACAATATCAAGTGAGTTACGGAAGTGTCCAGAAGAAAATACAGTTCATTTTTTATTGCCAGGCAGTACGTACACTGAGAGAAGAATAGCTAAATTGGCAGTAACTATACGACGAGAAATTTGTAACTTCATTAAGTTTTTGTCAATTGTATGTTATTCCAGTGATCGAAGAACTTGAAAACTGCCTAACTGGTCATAAATCAGCAAACTTCTATCATTTCAAGGAGAGAGCACCAAAATTTGGAAAATATTTACATTGAGGGAGATGGAAGACTACATTGGTAGTCTTTAGTACAGCGTAAATAAGCTAATAAATATTTCAAGACAAGTAAATTTTAATTACTTCAAGTAAAATAAAGCTTCACGCACAACCGATTCTTTTTTACTTCAGGTTAACGTATACTCTCCCACGCAACATAATTAAGATTGATTGACATGTTTTGCCTTTCTCAAAGCTCAAAAAAACCGCTAGTATTAAACGGCAAGTAAGTTAAGTCGGTTTTAAGGATGGTTTTCAAGTCGCTTGAAACTTTCTTGAATAATCGTTTCAACTCTCTGACTTTAATGAGATGCAAAGTAAAGTTAATTGAGATATTACTTAGGCCTTCACACACGCATTTTTTGGTTAAGGTGATTTCCTGGTTTTGCACTGCGCGTCTCTTACTGCGCATAACAAGATGGCCGCCGTAAAAAAGAGCATGTGAAGTAACAGTTGACTGAAAAGAGACGCTATTGGAATTTTTGCTTGCTGTTGTTTCTTGCCGAGGTGAGACTCGATGTGTTGGGATTTGCATAACGTAAGCAGTACGCGTGTTGCTGAGTCCGACTTCCTCTCGGAGAACCTCGATAGTGGATATTTAACTTGTGCTTACTCACTTTGATTTTCATTTAAACGCTTTCTTTATCACATTGTGTCCTAAATGTGATATCTCGATGTAAATCCTGTAAAAACGGATCAATACTCTCTTCCCCCTTTCACATACATTCTATTTTTGACACTCGCTCCAGTCCTCTCTCAAAAATCGGAGGACATGCATTTGGTGCGCACTTTCTGTAGCTCTACCGCAAAAGCGAGTGCCCTAACCCCCATTTTTTATTTCATGATTTTAATAAGGACAGTGCCTCCTTTCGATGAGACAAAACTTGGCACAAATCTACGTTCAGTTTTTTGGCAATTTTACTAAATTGTACGGATTGAGCTATCACGGGTCGAATAGCGCGTGTCCAATTTAATTCTACTTTGTAGCGTAAAGTAAAAACAAAAGCATTGAAAGACATTTTTCTGGTACGTAAGTGGATAAACAATACATTAAAGTCAAATTCTGTGTGATACCACATGTAGCATCGAAAAAAAAACTCTTCCTTTTTGTCTAGTTTTGGGCTGCCCGCAGTTTTTGTAAAAGGGTCCTAAATATCCGTATTTGTCAGCATTATGGGCATGACGTCAAAACGAGCCCGGTGACCCCCAATTTTTATTACTTTTTTATCATCTGCTTGACTTGTTAAATCAGTGCACCAAGTTTCATCTACAATCTATGTTAGGTTCTTTTACTAAGGGATCACCTTAAGGAAAACTTAGCAGCTCTTAATTCTTACTTAACAGCCTAGTGTAAAGACAACCATTGAGTCTAACTAAAAGTCAGTTGAACACCTGCACTCAGAGAGACGGCACAGCGCTGCTTGAGAAATGCTATCTAAACCTTAAAACAAGCGGGAAAATCTCCCCTTAACGCGCATTTAAGGCGACACCGGCCTTTCCAAAAGACTGCATGAATACTGAATTGGTGAGACCATTTTTAAAACCTGCCAGGCAAAAAAAGTATTACCTTCTGAATGATCGAGGTTTACAATCGGAATTATCAGATTTCCTTCAGCGATCGCTGAGCTCTCTG